TTCTGTGAAAATAAGATTTAGTCGAAAACTAGTGACTACTTTTATTGCAAAAAGAACAGGATCTAGCGAACTTTTAGCTTCAAAGTCTATTGAGCTGCGCTAGGCCACATATTACTAAAAATGTTTGGATCAGCTGATGCGCTGGTTTCCACGATCCCATAGTCACTAGGAGTGATACATCAATTTCGTCTTGCACCAAAAAGCTAGAAATGTGAAACTTTCTAAAGCAGAATTCTGAACGCTGAATCTGAAATCACAAGAAAACAATAGTTATACAACTGCGCTGAAGTCCTTCAAAACAAGACCTTGATCAACTTTCTGTATTTTCCGTTGAAGAGATACGCTGTTCCTATGTTTGGTTTGTTTTCATATCGTTTTCTCGTTTAGTAGAAATCCAAAGATTTTTTGTTCTGCACGCATGTGTTTTTCAGGCGCTATAACACTTCGACAAAACGTTGCAGAAAGTTGGCTAAGGTTTTACTGTGGTGGATTTTATCTGGCGTATCATCATGTAAACTCAGAACTTCAGTTGCCTAAATCTGAGTTTCTAGGAGTTTTCTAGAAAACCGGCTTTGAGGTTCTGATCCATAGAAACATTTAGCGCAACTTTGTGTCATAATTTCAGATTCAGCGTTCAGAATTCTGCTTTAGAAAGTTTCACATTTCTAGCTTTTGGTGGAAGACGAAATTGATGTATCACTGCTAGTGACTATGGGATCGTGGAAACCAGTGCATCAGCTGATCCAAACGTTTTTAGTAATATGTAGCCTAGTGTATCTAGAACAATTCTTGATCGGTTTTGAGCAAATGAATCTTTTATGAAAGCATCACTTTTGTCATATGTGCGAGCTCGGTGACTTACAACATATAACTTGTAAGTGAGTTATAGTAAACTCAGAAAATGTGGAATTCTTACCATATGCAGTAGCCTTAAGGCCTGATACGTATGGTCAAAATCTCAGTTCAGTCTGTTACTTCCAGTAAAATGGCATGTCTGATTTTCTCAAACCGTAACTCTTAAAGGCTTGTGAAAGATGTGCGTGTACTTGTGTACTATGCGAACAAAACGATAGCATTTTCTTTTGGGCGGCGATATGTCCTATGTAATCTGTGAAAGAGTCCGTGTAGTGCAAACTGTACGGAGGACGTAATATTCCAGTGATTATGTCGCATGTATAGTAATTCACTATGCCGTGTTTACAGTTATTATGCTGTACAAGTGTGATATCAGCGAAGCAGTTTTGATCAGTCAATAACGTTATACTTCTGATCTTAGGTCTCTTCCCACACTAGAGAAAGTTTGTTTATCACGATTTTTCTTACCTTGTTTATATTTAACTTTCAAATCAATATTTTCACCACGCCACACGCGGTCTTCAACTGCTGGTAGTTTATTCATTGCTAGCATAAATAAATTCAAATAATTATAATACGGTATAAGTTGTGTACGATTTTCATTACGTAACGCACGATTAAACATTGTAAAAAAAGAATGCTGTCCTTCTGGCCATTGTAATGTGTAAAGATAAATAGCAGCAGATTCATCACATGTTAAATCATCTTTTGGATTTTTGCATTCTTCTAACGCATATGTAACTTTATTTTTTAAATTTGCAACTAAATGATATATTGGTTTCACTGCTTCATATAATGACGAGGTTGAATTGGTATGAACAATTGGTGGTAATGGTGGTAAAACTTCATCGGGTTCTTCAGTAACACCGCTAAATCGTTGACGTCTAGTGTTGAACGTTGCTGCAGCAACAGTCATTTCTCTACAGTCTAGAGAGTCAGTGAAAAGTTTTATCTTTTTTTACGATATAGTGACATAAAGTTAAGCAGTTACATGCCATAAGCCGATTAAGCTGAATAGATTTTGAAGCTAAAAGTTTGATAGATCCTGTTTTTTTGCAATAAAACTATTCATTAGTTTTCGACTACATCTTATTTTCACACAGATGGTTCATTTGGCTACGAGCTTTTCGAAAAAGAAACTACAAAAACAAATCCAAAGCATGCTCCTGCTTCCATCAATTATTTGTTATGTGGCGACAGACAAAGAAGACCAACAAATAACAATGTGTCAGAAATTGCGATACGTTTGCGCGATAAGATTCAAGAACAGGTTAATGTAGTTGTTTTT